AAAAAAAAAAAGTGACAGGTTATTGATTTCTTAAAAGGGTACTATTGTTGGAGTGACACAATTCAACCATACTTTGCAAAGCTTTCCTATCTTGGAGTAGTGCTTGATGACTCGAAGGTTTAGTTCCGCGAAGACCTTCAGCCTTTCCTTGACTAAATCTATATTATCATAAATTCGTCCCTAAGCAAGAAAGCAACTATTTCTTTAGACTTGGGACAGAAGAGTAGTTAGTGTCTTCCTTCCATGACCAAAAGTAAATATTTCAGTTCTTCAATTAGAAACAAAAATTAGAAATTAAAAAGTGACAGGTTATTGATTTCTTAAAAGGGGTACTTATTGTTGGAGTGACACAAACCATACTTTGCAAAGCTTTCCTATCTTGGAGTAGTGCTTGATGACTGGAAGGTTTAGTTCCGCGAAGACCTTCAGCCTTTCCTTGACTGTATCTATATTATCATCAATTCGTCCCTAAGCAAGAAAGCACTATTTCTTTAGATTTTGGGACAGAAGAGAAGAACGACTAGTACAAGAGATATAGATATATAAAACACCTGATTACGGTTTAATACTCGTTTCACCATTTCTTCTTCAGGACAATCGAAAAAGAGCACAATGTCTGGTTCAGCACCAATCTGCAGTTATATAGTCTATCACTTAATATTCAAGCAAATTGCATAATGAACATTTTCAATTGGTCATATAGCAACCATCCAAACACAGATAACCAAGCTGAAAGGAAAGGATAGGACACATTACTAAAAACATATTGTTCTTAAAAGGAATAAAGAAATCGACAAATTCAATACAACAACAACAAAGCCTTAGTCCCAGACAAGTTGGGGTAGGCAAATCGACAAATTCAATAAGAATAAAAAAAAACTCACAACTCGTTCATATGCTATACGATTCTCTTCCGTTCTTGGGAAACCATCAATAAGAAATCTATCATTATCGCTGGCTTCCATGGCCTTCTGAATTAGTTGAACAGTCACTTCCGATGGAACAATTTTCCCTTCTTTGATTGTATTGAGAATCATGGAACTGTCGCAGTTTATGATCACCATTCATGCCATAAACATAGGAGGGATATAAAAAAAAAAACCCATGTCAGAAGGGATGCATATTCTTACCCATTTTCACTGTTAGAAGAAATTTCTTTTCTCAATAGGTCTCCAGCACTTAAATGGGTAAACCCAAAAGTATCAACAATCCGCATACATTGAGTTCCTTTTCCGCTCCCAGGACCCCCTATAAGCATCAAATCAGAATCAGTCCACTGTAATTTCATTGGTAAATTATATATACTCCTGAATAAGCTACAAAGTTCCATAATCTCGGGAGGCCCAATAGATCCAAAGAAATAATAAAAACAAACTCCCCTTTTCAGTTTCTTACAACTCCATATGGTTCACTTTACGAGGATAATAATGTTAAGATGACAGAGACAGCCACAGCTATGCCTACAAGCTATTATCTAATGCAGCTATGCCTACAAGATTATCTAATGCAGTTAACAATTTCACACCATTTCATGCTTTTCAAATACTTGGCAAAATAAAACATAACATTCCAGATGTCAGCAAATAACTCTACAGACACTTCTGAATACAATAATAGCATCTTACGACCACCTTCCTCAACAAGAAGATGTAAGCAGTTAAGCTTAACTGAACGTCAATTACCCAAGACAAAAGTCACAAATGGGATCCTTCTTCTATCAGAAATTCCGCTTTCCGCCTGAGTCCATCAAAGAAAATGCACAACATTAATATACAAATCACCATACTGCAAGAAAGAATAAATCTGACTTGTGTATTGAAGTAACCTTTTGTGCGAAAAGGAAAACAATTGTGATTATAATTAGCAATGATGGATATCAAAAGCTTCAGAAATTTACTCATGTCCAAAATCAAATGACAGAATCAAACAACATAGATAAACAAGACATTTTCAATTTGCATAGACCAAAATCCCATGCCTCACATTGATATCTAGGCAAAAGCATTCACAACTACTAACTGGAAGAGTTAAACCTAAGAAGCCACTGCCAATCTGTCACTGAAGAAATTTCAGACAGAGAAATAACAATACAATCAAGAAGATCACAATTCATGTAATGATCGTCACAGCTACCGAGAAAGAACTAGAATAGATTAGGAATCCAATCATAATTTACTATGATTCCAATTAAAAGAAAAAAAAATTAAAAGAACATATGAACTTGATACCAGATCCAGAACTTGAGTGCTGAACATTTGAAAAGCGTTAAATCCACAGGCTGCCTGCACCTGATGAGAAAAGAACACTCGATCCTTCCGTGAAAAATCTCATCGTAAGTATA